ACGTAAATGCACAAATGTGCATCTGTATTTCCCACTAAATAAGGGGTTCCAAGCTATTCTTGGGTCCAGACTTGTCCTCTTCAGACTGGAGCTGAGCTTAAGATTCTCAGGAAGGAAAAAGCCAAAGTAAGCTCTTTAGCTTAAACCCCAGCTTCTGAGCCATGAGCTCTAGCCAGATTGGGCATGGGAAAACTCAAGTATGACTAGTTCTGGGACTGGGTTTTCTTAAGTACAGCATACATTCACAAAGCTGAGTTGCAGTCAGCCACAGGAAGACACAAAAGGGTTGGTGCAGAATTTGATGTGCTAGAACTCTGCTGCACAGATCCCCACAATGATTGAACCTGGAAGTCTCAGACCCTAACAATGAAAGTATAAATAACTTTATCTATGGATTTTATAATGGAAATGATAAAATTACAGAGGCCTGACTTGCTTGCACAGCACTAGCACTTGACAGTCCTAGTCACAGATCATTCAATTACTAAAATTCGAAGTAGGACACAGCCCTCACACGATGTCAATGCATGACTCTTTAAGTCATGTGCATTTTACTCAATAATGAGAAGTCTACATTAATATGCCCACATGAAGTGCTCTGTTATCAAGCTAGTCAGTGAAGAACTAGTCAATGTGATCAGTGGCATCTAGAGAGTTTGGGTTCACCCTACAGCAGGCACTTAGATTTGGTCTCATGCACCCAAACTTATGTCTTGGTCTCATGAGCCTGACTGTGAGCAGAATTCCCCACTCCTCCCGCAGTGCATCAAAAAGGATAACTTTCAGGAACCTTAATTCAGAGAATTACCCTGTCAGAGACATGCAGAACCCAACCCAGCCTCTGCAGCTCCACCTCCATTTTGCCACTTCATTCCAGTCTACTTCCAGATGGAGGAGAGAGCTAATTTTTCCTCTTTAAAAATATCCTCAGTGTTTGAATATGGCAGATAAACAGATGGATCACAGGTCTCAGTTCTACTCCTTGCCAGAAGTGGGCTACGTTTGTGATACACAATGCAGTTATCCTGCTCGGGAGGAGAGTATGGCATATCATTTGTTTTCCCCACGTGAACAAACATCTGTTGAAGATGATAAACAGATGAAGTACCTAGGACATCCATTGTTCTAGAAAGTCAGATCTTTTTCTCTTATACACAGGACCTGTTTTTTCAGAAATGCATTTCTGATTAGCCTATTTCCAGTGACAGTCTGGCAAGCCAGAACGTGAGAACATCTCATTTTATTGATGAAGGAGTTTCTACCTCACAAAAGAGAAATAACAACACTCCTGACACTGGCCAGCAAAGCCAGAGAGGCTCACAGACCTTCACCACCTTGCTGCCTTCCAGTTTCTGAGGGGAGCCAGATCAGAGGATTACCTCCTTTGTCTGTGCAGGGACAGCATGATGTTTTCCTCACTGAGATTTTACCTCTTGGCCCATTAAAGAGCAGAACAGTAAGATGGAGCTGAGGTAGGCATCTAGGAGAGCTTGAATGTGCAGACTGCTTTCCTATCTGAAAAGCTGATTTGCAGGCAGACATACAGACCTCCTTCCACTGCTGTATGGCAGTGAGGGATTCATCCTGGGCAGAGGCTAGGCCATGGCTTTTCTGTTGCTGCTTTCTTCCAGGGATGCCTTCAGCAAACAGCAGGTCTGCAGTGCTTTGGAGGCTCCAACCATCGAAGGCTACATGGGGTTGCCACTCGGGGTGACGTGAGAGTCTCTGCATAACGAAGGAACATGTCCCAGAGACCTCTCAGAAAACATTTGTCATAATCTAGGTCTTAATCAACTCCAGAATGGAAAAAGCAACACAAGTGAAATGTCTCTCAATGCCTACAAATACCTAAATTCAAGTTCAGTTATAGAAGAAGGAGGGGAAAAGTAAAGAGCATGTTTTTTTCTCAGGCTTCAGAGCCAAGATCTGTATGTTTTTGAAGTCATCCTGCAAGGAAGAAAAGAAAAGGCTGAAGCTTACTGTGACCTAAATAAAGCGAAAGAAATAGGTGCTTGTGATCAAAGGGTTGAATGATGCATATACACATCTCCCTAAATAATAGAGTCATTGGGAGAAGTGACATGTCATTATTCCTCTGAAATAAAGCAAATTACCTGTTCTGAAAAGAGGAATTAATCTGTTTTTATACAGTGAAGAATAATGCCACATTATTTCTTCTAAAATTAGCAGCTGACAAGCTGAGACTTCACTGCATATAGCATCTGGCTTTCTGGCACCACATGCACTTACCAGAGTGAACCCTTCCTTTACCAGTTTTATAAGGTTTGGTGGGCAATAGCCATTACTACAAAGGCCTACATCCACTGAGCTCCAGAACAGCCGTAGGTTTAAAGTATCTCAGAGTTTCTTTCTTTTTCTCTGGAGAAGCAATATGCAGAAAACCTGATACTGACATTTCAAAAAAGCTAAAGAACTTTGAATGGACTCTCAAAATCCTCTTTCACCCATCTTTCCAACCAGCTGTACCCTTCATTAGTTGTTTTCCAAACAAGAAGCAAGCACATGACATTCTCATCCTAAAATTCTGCATTTTGACATTTCCAGTATTCAAGGCAGGTAGAGAAAGAGTGAATTCTGAAAGTTGAAGTCAGACTCATCTAAGTAAATAAGAGGTTTCTTATTTTCTATTATCAAACTATAAGGCTTCAGATGCTGAATAACTGAGCCCATAACCATAGTAATGGCCTAGCAATTTATCTTGTAAAGATAATGACTATATTTTATCACATGAATGCATAGAAACAGTGTAGAGACTTCTCAAAACTGCTTTCCCGAGGAATTCCCCTCTGTTTGCTGTTTATGTTTAGAGTAACAGTATGAAGGGCTCAACATTTATAAAGAGGCTTGGGAAATTGAAAACATGAGAATTCATTTCCATCAGACCCGGGAGACCAAAATCACAGTGCTTATTTACCCCCTAGACAGTTTCCAACTAAATACTCTTTCAATGGAACCTGACTTTCCTGACTCTCTTTCACTGATGCACAGCCATACCCGCATCCAAGCTGCGTGCCGAAAATTCCCTAGCAGCAGATTTGAAAGGAAATATGTTAGACTTTCTCTCCATCATGCACCTGAGTGAAGTGATTGGGTGATATTTTCCCTGTGTTTAAGAATGTAAAATACCTCACTATTGTTGGTGCTTTTCCTTGGCTGTAATGACACCGAAAATATAAAAGATAACAAATCCAGTCGCCAAAACCACATATCTCCATTTGATCTCTTCCATCAGAGTTTTGGCCTAGGCAGTTTAAAGTCCATGTTTGCACTTGTCTTTCATACATATGAGGAATAAGTGAGCTTCCTTTGTGCTGGTAGGACCAAGACAAATGACACTGCCCTCTCTGCTTACTGTCCTGACTGCCAGGCTCCACTGCATCACACTGCTGTTTGGGTTTTTTTTCCTTGAAGGGTAGGAGATTGTCCTCTTGTCTAGCCAAGAAAAGGATTTTGTAATAGTTGAAGAGCTCCTTGACAAAAAAAAGCAAGAAGATCTTACTGGAAGAAGATGCTTCCTCAAGAGAGGTCGGTCTGTTCAGAAAGGCAGGTCAGCTAGTGAGTGCTGGAGTTGGAACTTTGAGGGAGGCAAACACATCAAAGCCAAGTCTTAAATTCCCCACATCCATAGGTTCTTCCATTGGATAAAGGCCCTGTGTCAGTGAGGAAAGGCACCCTTTCTGTCTGACCTAAAGACAACTCCATGATAACGATGCAGGGTTGAGCACCAAGGACTCAGGGGCAATCCCCATCAAAGCTTCAGCAGCCAGCAGAGAGACAAGGAGAGATGAGCTGGATTGAGGCTGGATTGATTCTGAGACAGCCTCTCCTTATGAGCAGGAAAAGCTCTCTGGACATGATGCTCAGTGAGTATCATCCAAGCAACAGGGTTGTCTATGTTTGAAGGACTATTTAAGTCCACAGATAACCAGGGTAAACTTGTGGTCCAGGAAAGGAGAATCTCAGAATCTGGCTCAGCAGTTTCCATTTCTGGTTCCTAAGGCAGACCTGGTAACCCAATTGCAGGAAAAAAAAAGCTGGCTATGTTTATCACTCTATCTTTCCTGACAGTAACTTATATTTAAAGAGATTTACCACCAGCACCACCTTCTGAACCTACTTGAGTATTTTTCTTCTCTGCACGGAACCTGGTGAAGTTTTACACTATCTGCTGCAAAAAGCACCGAGTTGTTGAACTTTTCTGGTCCTTCATTGTTAACAGCAAAAATTACAGTCAAGACTGTCATCAGTTTTTTTTCTTCTACCTGCTTTGTAATAGCGTGTAGATCACAGGCTAAGGCACAGTTTTGAATTCAGTTTAAATGGTACCATACTGACCTGCAATCAGCATTTTGCAGTACAAAACTGGCAAGTGTGTAATCTATGGAACAGATACATCATCACTTCCCTACCTACTCCATGTATTTATTTATCAACAGGAAAGCCAAACAGCTAACAAACACCTCCAGGAGGACATATTTCAGCATGATGTCACCAGGGGGAAAGTAAGACCATCCATATCAAAGTATGCAAACCTCATTTTTCAGTACATGGAGATAAGCTACAGCTTCTCCTAAGCTCACCTATGGCAGGGGGACACTGACCAAACAACTGAGGGCAACTTTCAAAGACTGCCTCTTTGCAAAGCATGGAATGAATAACTTCCTTGAGAAAGCAAAAAAACCTGAATAAAACACTATTTTAATTATATTCAAATAATTATTTATTTGAAAATATGTTCCCATTAAACTACTGTCTAAGCACAACCTATTGTAAGTCAGAAGCAGTTTGGTTCTACCTGCATTTAAAGTCATTATTATAATTATTTTCACCAGAACAGCCATTAATCTCATAAACAATACCTGGCTTGCAGAAAATACATGATAAACAGCTATATTATGATTTACTATTAGTTTTGTTGCATTCTCTCACTCAAATACTAACTTCCTATGAAAATGTTTTTTGAGAAAAAAATATCTTACCTTCAGATTGATGTGTGGCAAGAGGTGTCTGTGTCTCCTTGGAGTATGATACCACCTCCCGAGGTAAGAAATCAACCTGGGTAATCTTTGACACCCCTAGTTTGTGCAGTCTGCGTCTAAGGTGGAATACATGACATCAAAAGGTTAGTCACATTAAATGTAAATCAGCAGCAGGAACACAAGTGTTTGCTTTTATGAACAGAATAAAAAAATACTTTGGTGTTTGTTAAGATGAAACACAATACAGTATGCATGAGAAGTACCTAATTGCAGTGAACAAAATTAACCTGAGAACCATTTGCCATAATAAAGTACAGTTACTGAACCTCTAGATCATGCTGCTGAGAGGGACTGTAAATGGGAGTGAGAAATGACCTGCTTGCGCCCTTCTTAGCATGCAACAAAATTCTCTTTCATGCCATCATTACTACAACGTTCTGCCTGCTCAAAAGAGTTCATCCTCAGCTTGGGAAACACAACAATGGAAAGGGCACAGTAGGTGTAAACCACACCAGATTAGGACTGTCAGATGTTCAGCTGAGAGCAATAATAGAGCTTTTAATTGGCAAGTTGGGTGATTTCTATAAAGGAGATTCTCCCTTCCACAGGAGTCATTAATAGTGGAATTGATGTAGGTTTATGATTAATAAAGTCCTAATTCAAGGGCTGAAGTAGAGCTAAAACACAACTGGAACAGGGCAAGAATAGCCTTCTTTTTTGACTACTTCCCTTACTCTAAATAAATCATATGAAATAAATCAGTGAAGCCAACTGTAAGTGGGTAAGGGAAAGAGAAGAGAGACATGGTCATGAATACTTTGTTGTACACAGTTCATTCAACAGTGTGTGTGTGTGTGGGAAATAAGTTTATTTCCTGAATATTATTTTTCTGTTTGCAGGAAGTGAAGAATATACAAATGATTACTTGCAAGTGTTTGGAAAATATGTCAATTTTCGTCAGAGAAAAGAATGCAAGCATAATAAACAAATCAATTGAGTAAGTCCAGTTGCCTAAATCTGCAAGTGTGAGCACGTTTGTGCATTTATGGGAAATAAATTCATGGACACAATGTTTCTCAACTGTCATGTTATTAGAGAGAACAACTTTGAAAAGCAGAAAATTCATGCACATTAGCCATATCCTCTTCATTTTCCAGACTGTCAGAAGAACAGAAGTCAAAGGGATTTTTATCTTATTAATTTACAATGGTGTCAGTATTCAATTAAGATTGATACCTGAAAGGAAATGGAAGTCTCAAAAAGAAACTGTCATCATTGGATAACACCTACTGAACTTTTCAGGTGGTTAACGCTACCTCAGCTATATATTTTTCTGTTCTATCTTACTGGCTGAGTTGTTATTAAGCTGAATGCAATTAGATTCATCAGTACCAATCAGCTGTATCGTGTAACAAACGACTAGAGCAGAAACAGTTGTTATGGCTCTGAGCTCTTTACAAAGATGAAAAATTAACAAGTCTCCCTCCTTACAACCATCTGTGACTTTGCCAATGTGAACAATTGTCAGAAAATTTTACAGAAAAACTTCTACCTTGTTACTGGGGGCAGAAAAGCTTCTTAAGGTAACAGAAGTTTTAGTAGTTTTACATTTTTGTAGCTGCTTTAACTGAGGGTCTGTGTGAATTCAAGCTTTAATAAATATGAGCAGTATCTGATGTGTTTTTCCCTTCTTTAACACCAGATGTGCAACCTAATTTGGTCAGTTAGATTTTCCTATGTAACCAGTCCCCTGCTGCCCCAGGCTACTCTTTCCATTTACCGAGAATCTTAAGCCTCCTGCATTGAAAGTCTCTTGACAGTGGTCTTGGTTAAGTGTAATCCCTAAATAATTATGTGTCTAATCTAGACCTAATTAGAACCTCACGTAATTCTAACAACAGTTTCACATGAGGTCATTCTGTATCTCCTCACATGAGGAGGGGGAACAGCTAGCTGGATTAAACAGCTGGTTGGTTTAATCTCTTTGTACCCTGCTATCCAAGAAGTGAGCTAAATCCCAGAGCACTGTGCTGAGACGGCGTGTGGAATTTTTCACCTAAAACATTTACAGTTCAGACATTGCTGCTGCCTGTACAAATGCCTTGTGCCACCCATAGTGTAGTAATTACTGGTGAAGATAGGGAAGTCCTCCTTCATCTGAAGTAACATGATCTCCTGATTATTTTTTGCCCCTGTAAAGCAACCCGTAATTGTTCTTGTGTAACTAAAAGTTGGCCTAGCCAAGCACTTGGAGACAATTGGTGCATCCTTTCAGTATCTGGACTCTATCAAATATGAACTGTAATGTTCTAGTCTCTAGTTCTTTTTAGGGCAACACTAAACTGTCTATTGTTTTCTTATCCCCATTTTTCATCGAAGCTGCTCATAATTCTTATATATTACCTGAATATTCATCTTAGAGAGCACTTAAGCTTTGAAGGATTCCTTTCAAAACTGCCAATGGGATGTGAGTAGAAGGACAGTAACTAAAGTCCACCCAATAAAATTGGTTCCTCTGTCTATAGGTACCAGAAGAAAGATGTATCTGCTAGAAGTGTTTTGCTGCACATATCATGTATTTGCTGACTGCAGAATTTCTTTTGCATTGGATTTTGGAGTTTTTTTATCTAGTCTTATGACACTAGAAGAAAGTTTAACTCTGCTTTGGTTTTGAAGACATTTTTCTTTCAAAGGGGCAGAACCTCCATTAAAGTGTTTACCTATGGATTGCTCTTCAGTATGCTTCTTTCTTGCCTTTGCACTCACTGCTCATAAATGATTGAAGTCTCATAGCTATATACAGGGTTATCTTTTCATGAGTCAAATAAAGGGACTTGCTTTGCACAACTCTTTGAGGAACTTTGCTCCTAGGCGTGCTCATCTTTTACCCAAACTTCTGGAAAAAAAAAACAGCTGAGATTCTGGATATTCTCCTTCTGATCTTTCCTGGTGAATAGCCATAACATCCCTAACTGCAGCTGGGAGCACTGTCAATCAGCAGTTAAAGGAAATTGTTGGTTTTCTTATAGTATGGTGAATGAACTAGCATACAAACTAGTAAAAGCACAAGACACTTGCCAGGACACTCAGACAGGAAAGCCTGTAAGTTCATAGGTAGAGCAAATTTTTCGAGATAGTGATTTGGTTTTGCCTATGACTCAAGCTCTGAAGAACTTTAAGTACTGCTACCTATGCTTTTAGAGGAACAGTTTATCCTAAATATCTCTGCAGGTAAGCATTTCTAAATTATTTAAATTAATGATTTTTTTTCACATGCTTGGGGTAAAGAAGTTCCATCCCAAACTACAAAATATTTATTTTAGCTCTAGTACAATTCAAAAAAAATCTTGATTGGCCTGAACTCAACTAAGATGGCAATTACTCTTGTGTTATGATCATATTTAAGTGTACAATTATAAGCACATACACAATGCCTAATGAAAACCAGGAAATTGTTACTGCATGTGGAAACAGCATAACTAGGGCAGACAGAAAGGAGGGGGCAAAGTACCTTGCAAATGATTCAGAGAGAACAGTCTGAATCAACAGGTACAAACAAGATCAATGTAACTGTACATGCATATATGTGCCACAATAATAACATTTCATCTATAATGAAATAGTTATTTGTATTGTGTTTCAAGCAACAGAAACAGCAACTTATCTTTTCATGAGATTATTTAAATAGTTGGGGTTTTTTTCTACAACAATGGCTTTGCTGAGGCTTCTTATTTATGAAACTAAAAAAAGAAAACTTAAACTATGGTCTTTTTGAGTCGACAAAGCAAATAAAAATCTCACACACAACCAGCTCAACTAGGAAGCATTTTCAACATAATTCTTGCAAAGAAATAACTTATAACAAAAAGAGCTGACATATACCCAAGTTCAGAGTCAGACTGGAGTTGCAGCACTGAGGGGTCTGTGTCCCATTGCAAGGTCCTAGGATGGTAATCAGCCGTGCAGCACGAAGGGGAGGGAAAAAAAAGAACACATAAAATTAACTGAAAGGATGAACAAAACCCCATCTCATTAGTTACATGGTCTATGTAGTACATTCAACTTCCAAGTGCAAGCAACAGCCACCATATGTCAAACAAGGTTTGTATGTCAAACTGTGAAAGGGCAGGCAACTTATTAAAATTAAATATTATTGGTAAAAAAAGGGAAGAAGCTGGATTTCCTGTCAGATATTGATTAATTAAACATGGAGTCGGGTTTTTTTCCTTTTCCTGAAAGATTTCTAATTCTTTAACTATGGTTGATGCAATCACAATAACCTGTAAAATCTGCAGGCACAATTTATTTATGTTTTTTTGATAAGGTAGACTGAGCACTTGCCATGAACTCCACTGAAGAGTCTATCCCTTCACAACCCCCTGACATGGACAGTCAACCATCTTGTGCAACAGTGCTCTGGGCGTGAATGTCACATAACGCATATGACAACAAATGGAACATTGAACAGCAGCTCTGACATACTCTGGGGGCATCTGGGACAAACAAACAAATTCTTCTTCTTTTCCTCCAGATAAAATCCCTGGGGAAGATGGGAATGATACATCTGGGAAAATCAGATCTATGACAGTCTCTTAATGGATTGCTGTCATATGAGGCTGTCACCAATTGTACGAATGCTCAAGAGGTGTGATCTGAAGACGTTGCTCCCTGCATTGCAGTGCAACTTGCCCTATTACCAGCTCTAAAACACTTTGCAAACACTCACAGAGCCTTTCCAGAATCCTATAAAATACTTGTAATCCTCCAATTCAGAAATGCAAAAATTGACATATCGAGGCCAACATTTTCAAAGTGCCTGCTCATTCCCTGGCTCCTAATTTTATTTAGTTTTTTCACCCTCAGGAAGCCACATTTTATATGCAAGAAAACTGCCAGAATCCATGACAGAATCAGGAACACACGTTTGGCTCCTGAGCACCTTTTCCTGTAGTATGAACACTAGATTATGCACTGCTCTCATTAGCAAAGTCCTCCTTCACTAAAGCAGGTGAATCATGCAAACACACTGGATAATGACAGCTGACAAAATTAAAAGCTCCTCTCATTTCTTCTGAATGCAAATTTTGAGGATACAAAGAACATAATATTACCAGGTTCAGCCAAAAACAGCCATATAACCAGCCATGCTCCATTTATGCAAGCCTTTCTGCAACAACAGCAACCTCTGCCAATGAAGCACTCGTATAAACTAAGAAGTTATTGAAATAGGTTAGAAATAGATCTCTTAAAGCCAAATAATTATTCTACCTCCTATTCTTAGTAAACTCACCCATTCTATTACCAATGTTAACTCGCTCTCTGGAGAGACAGACAAGGGCATATGTTGCACTCTGTCATGTCAGAGTGAAAGAGAAGCAATCTCAACATCCTTTGCATAGAAACAGAATGAAAAACTGTAATGCAAAGCTGCTTTCTCATGCAGCATAAGGGCACTTATTTCCCTCAACTTCTTATGATCCATAGTGATGTCTATTGGGATAAAAGACTTCCCATTGATAGTGAAAGACTTCTCCAAAATGAAACTGTATTACAAAAGGTTCAGAGACAAAGAAATACAACAATAAAGAACACATTTTTTCCTTGTAACTACACTGCAGTGCAAGTACAGTGGAAAGTGGACATAAGACCTGAATGCCTGATGCAAGGCAAAGGCATCAGTGACTAACAAATTATAGATCCTCTAAAAAATGCTATCTGTGTGAAGATTACACTTGTAACATCACCAAGGTTGGCAGCATACCAATCACTTACTTAATATGTAAGTGCCAGTTTCTAATCTTATTGCTGCCTAGGGGCTACTTATACATGCATATCCAGGTTTTCCAAACACTTAAAAGAAAATATATGTAACTCATTTCAATTTCTTCCCCCCAACATTCACTTTCAAACATACAAAATTTCCCAAGGAAAAAAGGCCATTTCATCAGAAGGAACTCCATTATCATTTGATTAAAACAAGAGCTTGCAACAGGTCTCTAAAGAGGTGTAGTCTCTACATTTCACCTCTAAGAATCCATCCAGGTCACAAGAGAGGGCCTGTTTACCTGGTACCTAGATGAATGCCTAAACAAAATAAATTTAGAGATCTTCCACACTCAAGACAGCACTCAAATCCCAAAAACATGAGAACAGTAACACCTATGGTTTGTGCCATCATTTGTTCCATGCAGACATATAGTAGAGACATGTTCTTCCCTTGAGTGCTTCATTATCTGGATTCTGACATGGAGCCTTCACCACTCTTGACACTTTTAATAGCAATTCTCCTTGACTCCTGATTATACCTGTTTTCAACAGTTTTAGTGCATCTGCAAAACACTTCCTAAATTTGTGCTCCAAATGGTAACTGTTCTCTCTGCATCACTGTGTGCATACTTGCAAAGTCTTGAGAAACAGATAAGAAAGCAATCTGCTGAGTTGTCCTCTCAAGCTTGGCTGAGCAATGTTATTGCAGAAAATGAAGCTGCAGGTAGCAGACCTTCAGGTTTCCAGTCTCTTGCCCTAAGAGAGAGAACACAAGTGGCTACACCCACATACTGAAGGCTGGAGAGCACAAGGAGTGACTCTGTGTTTCAAGGAACAATATTGATTTGTTCCTTGCATCTTCCTAGTACGTAAAGGAAGTCCGCAGACCAAAATGAAAGTGAGTGAACAGTAAAGATGTAATCTGGATCTGCAATTTAGCCAGTTTCCATGGCAATAACATCAAAAAAGAAATAGATTCTTTGAGGATTAGCAAACCAAAGATAATGTTGAGTAACCTGTGCAGTCATCCAGACTAGAAAATTAAAGCTAATCTGTTTGTGATGAGCAGACATAGCATATGACATTCCTTGATCATATGAATGAGCATTGTAATTATACCTATTCTCCTATGGACAGTTCTCAGTTGGGATTGTGAAATGCCATTAGATTTCAGCAAAAAAGTTGTTGCCAATCTTTTGCAAATCTAGTGCACGAGTTCTTCCTCCAGAGACTTTATCGCAAGGAAAAGGATTAGGTGCTGGTTCCTCTTCTTTCTTTCTTCTTCATAAAAGAAAACTGAAAAAGCTTTGGGACTTCAAGTCATGCAAAGACAGAGGTAGAGAGGGTAAAATCACAGACCCTGAAGACAAGTACATGACCTAGGAGAGCTGCTTGGTCAGCAGTCAGGCACAGGTGCTCCCACTGCAGACCCTTTCAGAGAGCACAAGTTGGTCAAATTTTCCCTGAATGTATTCAATAGCTTTTGACACAGATATATGTAGAAGAGATCAAAAACATTTCACCTGAACATTTTAATGGGAACAAGCAGGTAAAAGTAGTGCTCCCTTGCAGCCTGTAGTCCTTCCATGAATCTCCTGCAGATTCCTCCCATGGGTGAATTGAGTGACACCAGCAATGGGAAGGGGACGAGGAAATTCACTGAGCAGCACAGTCAGGACTAAGCCAGATCGACCTATTTCCACCACCTAGACAGCACAGACACTTTCTTAATCAGAACTACCCAACTCACTGCTGTATCAGTCTCCCACACAGTTGCAAACAGTAGCCCTGTGTTGGGGTTTAAGCACCCTGTTATCCATCTTTTTACAAGTTCAGTGCACAACAGCTGCCCGTGGCTGACTGTAGGATAAAAAGCTGCAAGTATTACCAAATAACTGGTTGTTCTAAATTAGTACAAAGGGAATGAGGGCTTTTAGATGTTGCACTAAGTAGACAACGTACGAGTGTTATTATCTTCTCTGTAAACTGATTTGCTTTCACTCTCTTCCTTTAGATAGGTGTATTTTAGTATTCTGTATTTTCTCTGTGTTCTTACCTCACTAACCTATTTTTTTTCTCAAATTTAGGAGAGTATTAATGCTGGTGCTGTTTCAGCTTAGTACTGAAAAAGTACCAGATAATTTTGATACATCTTCTTTTTCACCCGTTGGTAGGGGTAGAAAGAACAGAAGCAAGAAACTCAGGTGTCATACATTTACTAAAGGATTGGATGGTTGTAGAAGGTGGGTAGCCATGATCTGAGTCATGAGGAGGCAGGGGGCCAGTAGCAACGAGATAACGTGAAGCCGGCTGAAAGACGCAGAGATGTTCCTGCAGGAGGAAGAGCCAGCAACAAAACAGAGGAAAACTCAACAGAGTTGGTTTGGGGTAAGACTGTATTACTTTCCCAAACCCCAGAGACTCCTTGAAGAGGAGGGGTGGACTTCCAAACCCTTAGGGAGTCCCGAAATGCAGCAGCAGCTAGAGAGAGAGAGAAAGGAGCTGAAAACTCGCAGTTGTCCTGAGAGCTGAGCCAGGACAGAATGAGGAGGAGGTGGCCGTGCCCTCTGCTGCTGCTGCTGCTTCTATCATGCTACTGAGCTGAGACAGAGCAAAGGAGCTTTGGTAAGACTGAACTGAAAGCTGCCTTCAATGTTCTAACCCAAGAGGAGTGAAGATCTACAAGGAAATTCCCTGAAGGCTCAGGCTCAGGGTTGAAATTTCCACAAAGTAAGAACAAAAATCCTGACTGCTATATTTAAATCTGCTGCCCTTGGGAAAAATGGAGGACAGTAACAAAGTGCCACAAAAAACTGAAATGAAGGAACTGTGGCCTGAGGAGTGACAGAAAGACTTTTCTCTTTTCTTCTTGGACTTTCATTGAAGAAAAGGAGAAATTTAATTTAATGTAAATATATATGTGGGTGTAAAAAAACCTTTGTATATTTTCCCCTTTCCCCAATAACGAATGGTTGTGTTTTGTCTGAAAACTCTCCACATGAGGTGAAAAAGATATCAAGTCCATACCATCACTAAACCCTCTCACAAGGGTGAACTGTGGGAGGGGGGGGCTTGAACTTAAAAATTAGATTCTTGGGAGTTTCAAACCACCACAATGGTAAAGCAACTTATTACATCTATCTATTCTGAATTCATGTCCAAAGCATTAGAAAGAT